GAGAGAGAGAGAGAGAGAGAGAGGATCAGGTTGTACTGCAGGAGTATCAGGGGCAATAAACTGGAGAGTGGACGTGCCCCCTCTCCTCTCATCCTCTTCTCTCCTCCGCAGTGCACTTGCAGCTGAGCAGCCCTCCTGACAGGACGCTCTCCTCCTCATCTTCCTCTCCTTCTTCCTCCTCTTCTTCTTCTCCTCGACTCTGTGTTGAAGGGGTGGGGGGCGGGTGCACCGGCAGTCGCATCTGACTTGTACACTCCAGAGGTCCCGGGCAGACGCGTCATGGCGCGGACTCATTGATAAAAAAAAAAAAAAAAATCAGTGGTGCTGGGATTAAAATGAACTCTCCTGCTGAGCGGCTCTCCTCCTCCTCCTCCTCCTCATCGTCTTCCTCCTCCTCTTCCTCCTCAGCGCTGCCTTCTCCCTGCTCAAGATCTTTTTTATGTGACTCCAGCAGGCGACGCAGGATGACTACTACCTTACCGCTGGTGATTTTGTGCGCTCTGGTGAGTCTGTTCTGTAATTACTGTATTTGCGGCTGTCAGGACAGTTAGTGAGTTCTTATGCACTTTGTGTTATTCTTTTCAAATATGACCTATAAGATTCCTACTACGTTATTGCTATAATAAAATCCTGCACGGACTTTAGTGGTGACTTTTCCTAATCTCACACTTCTTCGTGCCATCTTCTGCGTCATGGCTGTGTCATATTCCTCTGCTACTGTGTTGTTCCCCCCCTGTTAAACACGCAGGTGCTGCATGCTGCCAAACACTATGCTTTGTTTGATTATTATTATTACCCCTCCAGCTTTGCGCGCACACACATGCCCTCACACGCACCCACACCTTCCTCTTGTGGTCTCCATCCTTGGAGGAAAAGTTACAGACAGCGCAGCTAGAGGATTACTTTATGGGAAATTGAAATATCAGCTTCGCATTTGGCTGCATCCAGGACATCCAGTCTGATGCGCACTGGCCCAGACGTAAACAGTTGCCTATCAATAACTAGTTCTGGCACAGTTACGTGGTAGAACAGGGAGAGGTATAGTGGTACGGGGAGGCTGCAGCAGAGGTAAAGGGACGCTGCAGCATCTTAAGAAAAGTTGGAGAATGGCTGGTGGTGAAGCGCAGAGCGGAGCGCACATCCATCTGCCCGTGCGTCCTGGTGGTATGTGTCCAGGGCAGCTGCTCTCTCAGTCATCGTGTGAACAGCCCCTGTAAGCGAGGGGACACTCTGTTATGACAGCTGCTGTAGAGGGGTTGGAGACGGTCGGCTGCACTTTTGGTTTAGAATTAAATTTAGAAATAAACTCTCCAATTGACCGTGAAATTGGGGGAGAGTGCAAAAACAAGCGTATCGTGCTGGGTCATCTTGCGTGTTTCCTGGTGATGGTGCAACAATTTCCCTCCCGACAGAATGTGTCATTAGTCTGCTTTTTGGGTTATAATCCAGGGACGTGTCAGGAGAAGAGAGGGGGTTGGTGCAGGGGAAACTCTTCTTCTGGGGGTTTGAGCTGCATCCCCAAAAAATTTTGCAGGAAGAAATGCGTCTGTCATCCTGATTTTAACTCATGAAAACCTGATGTTTGTTCAGAAGATGTTGAGATAAAGTCAGGAGGAGTGATGAGGATGGCAAATGCAAAACGTGGAATGACAGAGAGGGTGAAATATCGAGGAAGAGGAAGGAGAATGAGGGGGAGGAGGAGAGAGAGCTGGTGGCTGCTCAATACATCTGCTTGTGAATGAAAGCAGGGACCAAAGAGAGAGGAGGGAGGGGGAGAGAGAGTAAGAGAGGGAGGGAGGGAGAGAGTGACAGAAAAGTTTGAATTGATGTCTCAGCAAATGTGAATTAAGTGGAAATGAGATTTTTGCTCGTTGCATAACAAAAAGCCACAGGACATGAAAGGGATTCAGTATAATGATTTTCTTTGTTCTGAAATGTCTGGATATGAATTCCTTTTATTTGACATTGTTGTGTGCACACGCACAAACACACACACGCAAAGCCTCAGTTCTTTTGCCAGTAAAGCTGCGTGGCATTCATACCAGAGTGTAGTAGCAAAATGCAACATGAACGAAAAGAGACAGAGAGATAACTGATCAGAAAGATGTAGACATCACGAGGGAGACAAGTAAATTGTGCATGCAAGTAATTTAAACCAAATGATCAATAGTTACATAGGATTAAATATGTGTTGGGAAGTACATGTGTATTGACACTGCAATGGTTGTGTGCTGCATGTATTCAAAGTTACACTGAACAAATTGGACAGCGTAATGGAAAAGAATCTGATCCAAGACAAATCCAACTCTCTCACCTCAGCTGTGGATCCAGTGAGAAGGAATTTAGTCTATGAGAACTTCTAACAAACCCTCTGGAGCTAACATCTGTTGACAGAGTCACATTTTTGGGGACTGATCCTCCACTAAGGCGCGATAAACACCTTCAATGTAAAGCATAAGTGAAACAAAGAGACCTTTTGGTTAAAGTTAGGAGGACATGAAATGGGCTTTCTGGGGCTTGAGCAACCACAGAGTCAGCATACAGTCCAGATTAAATTTACATAGATTTGATATCAAACTTCACGGTTGCTGTAAGAATGGATCAACTGGAGGGACTATGCATCTGTGGTTGGTTATTCTCCTGTCAGTCACCTGCTCCAAACCCTAACCTCCAATCAGACGGTCACTACAGATGATCCAAAACATATTTTAGGCAGTTTGGGCCAATGGGTTTGGGTTAGAGTTCTGTTTTGGATATGGTTTTTGTATAAGGTTTATTTTAGGCCTGGGGGTTCAGATAGGTGCAAAGAAATACATTATTGTAAGTCCTCACAAGTGTAGAGGTACATGCATGTATGTCTCTGTGGGTGTGTGTGTCTGTGGTGATGGGAAGCAGAGGCTGACGTTCACAGCTACTCTCACCTTTAGACAGTAAACAGGACGGGCATGTGTATAATGTGGTCCACACATGATCCTGTGGTAGCTGCCTGACTGGAGGATGTTGTACGTTTACTATATTAGAGCTGATGGGCCTTCAGGGGAACTATTAGAACAATTCATATGACTGCCTGGTTCAGAGTGTATCTAATAGGCAATAGGTGGAGACAACATGATTTATGATGAATCCTGAGAGCGGTTGGACTTAAGTAACAGGTCGTACACATGGCAGTGATTTTCCTCAATTTGTTTTGCTGTGTATAGACTCATTCTGTGTGTTTGTATGTGTGAAAGTTTGTGTCCACTCTCTGTGAGTGTGTGTGTGTGTGTGTGTGTGTGTGTGTGTGTGTGGCCAACATGCTCCTCTAACATTTTCTACTGTGCTGCCAGGTGGCGTTAGTGTCGTCATCTAAGACGGAGCGGGCGGTGCTGCTCCCCTGTGACTCCGGCAAGTACACAAGCAACGGGGAGTGCTGCATGGAGTGTCCACCTGGAGAGGGCGTGGTGAAGAAATGCGGAGCCACTCAGACTGTGTGCGCCCAGTGTTTGGACAGTGAGTGAAGATTTTACTGCATAAATATTATACATGTGTGTGCACTGAAGGGATCGAGTTTAAAAGAGTTCAAATGAAGAAAGTCAGCTGCCGTCAATTCTGGTTTTGAACACGTGGGCACCACTTTTTAAAAAGCCACCGTTTATCCATGGGTCGTAAATTCTAAAAAGGGCTTGAAGTTACAGTGTGTTTTGCACCTTGGTCTAAGAGTAATGTTCTCTAATTTGGCCTGAGATATATGGAAAAATGACCACAGACTTGATCATTATGTATGATGATTTTTATTAGCCCCTAATAGAAACAACATCTATAGGTTGCCAGGTTATAAAAAAACATCCTTTTGCCTTACCCTCTAAAAATTAAAGGCTAGATTTAATCTTTTATTACTTATTTTGGTCGTTTATGTTTTATTGACATTGCCACTGGAGAGATAGACAAGAAAGATAGAGGAAGAGAGGACCACAGGCAGCAAAGGGTCCCACAAGAGGCGCCAGTGAGTCACTGACTGGACAGTCTCAATCCAACATGAATGATGAAGACATAGAGTAACAGTTAGAAAAAGGCCTTAGAAATAAACCTGTGTTGCAACCAAACAGTGCATTTGCTTCTTTAATATGAAAGGGTTAGACAACCTTTGTGGACCAATTATCTTGTGTTAAAAATATCTTTGAGTGTGTTAGAGTCATAAAGTCATCTTTTGACTTCTATAAGTAAAATAAGGACTTCTATGACCGGTGTCTTATTAGAAAGTGTCGCCAAATTTTTTTTCCAACATTGGTTGTGCAATATCTGAAGTTTGTGCTTCCACCCCCCTTTGTGGTCTTCTCAGCATTGTAAAATTACATTAAAAACACACCAACCTCACCAATGTCAACTTTAATCTTTCTACAATGTGGTTCCAACGAAATCTGTTCCACGTGTGGTCAAAATATGTTTCACATTTCAGTGATTTGGGTGTGCTGACCCTTTAATAGATCCAGCAAGTCATTTTTCACACCAGAATGCTAAAACCTGACAATGCAGAAATTCCACCTCCTGAAATTTGTCATACCTAAAAAGATAAAATCAAATCTGGAAACAATCAAAAACATGAAGATAAATATGTACACAAGCTGTTGCACAGCTGCAAAACTCTTCACCCTCACCATCAGGACACACTCACACCCAACAAATGCAAAGTCTCTGCTCTCATATCATCTCGAGTTATACATCCACCTTCGCTTTCTTTGGTTTTAATGGCAGCTCAGGCCCTGAACTGCAAATACTTGTAGCGTCAAAGCCAAAACAAACTTCTATTGTCCAATTGGTCATTTGTGCAAAGTGTCTGCTTTTCATTTATCAACAGTCCTGAGAATTAAGGCAGGAATTCACATGTTTGATGCTTGTAAGTGGCTCCAAATGTGTTCGCTTACAGCTCTGTTCAGGCTGTGAACTATTAGCCCTCGCTCTACACAGCAGAGCTGGGAGAGAGGCCAATTCTGCAACATCTCAGAGAAGAAGAAGAAGATAAAGAAGAAGAAGAGTCGATGCTGCAAACACGTGTTCTTCTCGATTCTTTCTGCATCGGGTCCATGCAGCTCTTTTTGCCCTTTAAGATGCTGGTCTGTAACTTTGTCAGGGCGCAACGTGAACGTCAAAGTAATAGGTCACACCCGTCACCGCATTTAGTTCAGGACGAGGCGAGGAACTGCAAACGAGACAAATGAATCACACCTGCTGGTTTGAGTCTCCGCGGTGCTTCATTTTCTTCTCTGTCGAACGCACATGCTGATTGTGGCGAGTTTGAGGCTTTCACACAGCAGAAAGGCAAAATGAGCATGTGGTCAGAGTGAGCTCTGTGCTGAACATTGACAGGTTGCAATGATTTATCCTGACAAAACATGTAAACGCTGTCGGGCTGAAAACAAGAACTGCTGAGGCAGAACACATTGATATCAACTGGGTGTCATCACGAGGGATTCTATCAAATTGTTCAGGAACACTGCCAGCCTGATGGAAATGTTTTTGTCCAAAGAAAACACATTTCCAGATTATCTTTGAATTTCTTTTCACAACAGATGCTTATCTCCATGTTATGTCATCGAGCAACTCAAGTCTGGCTTAATTCAACCCTTTGAAGGTTTTATTATTTCGAATGAAGGAATTCGAACAGCAATACATAGATGGGCTGAGAGTCAATTGACGCTGGAGAAAAAAACAAAACAACTAACTTAACTTCACATAATCCAACTCTCAACAATCAATATCTGGATATTTAGAGGTGTTAAATTTACAAAAATACCTGACAGCACTAAAATAATGGCAACGCTGTTAAATGTCGTCATCAAACAATATGGTTATGATTGACTGGAGCAGGAAATTGGATGAGTAGATTCTGGATTCTGTGGAGAAACATGCTGCAGGAGGAATTAGTCCAACACGTCATATTCCTTTTTCCTTTTCCTGCTGTAAAACAACAGCAGACGATGTGTAGCTGTTACACTGCAGCTCTGTTTTCCCCATAATGTGGGTCGGCCCTTCAGGACTGTAATTGTGATGAGTATTTCTTTCTTTTTCTTTTTTTTTTTTTGCTTCACTCACTCATCCCCCCGCCCCTCCACACAAGCGAAATCCCTCGTCGTGTCTCCTCTTTTCTCCATCCTGTACTCGCCTCTCTCAGCCAGCAGCACAACCACCCCCTCCTCCCCCTCCCCCTCCCTGTTGCTATGACTCATCGTCTGTATTAGCGGATAAAAAGGTATTAGCGAGCTAGGCTCCAAAGGGCAAGATCTGCTCATTCATCATGCATACTGTTACATCAAAGCAGCTTTACTCATTTTATCTGGCTAATTAAAGCATATTAAAAAAATATTGAAAAACCTATTGTGCCTCGAACAGTGAACAACTGCAGATGGGTGAAACAATTAACGGAAAACCAACATAAATTGTCTTGGGAAGGTGTTGAGCTGCCATGTGCTGCCAAAACAGCGTCAGTGCACCCTGGCACTGATTTTAGTTGTTTTAGTTTTAATCATCACCGTGTGTCATCCTCATCTTTATTAAGTGGCTAGAACAAAGTTTTAAAAGGCTGCTGCTCCTGTTTTAGTTTGAAAATTCCAGGGCTGTGTTTGGGAATGGCGATGCAGTCACCTGCATTTGCTTCATATAGCTTTTTATCTGTCATGACTCGACTACCAGCAGTGATGGTAAAACATTGTTTCCGCTCAAGCTGTTTTTAGACACTATATGGGTCTTGAGATTCTCTGGAGTTTGCTTATCACACATGAACAACACAGCAGAAAATTCTCTGGTCAAACACGTCACAACACAGAAATCTCCAGAGCGTTCAGGTGACTTGGTGCAGCAGGCAGGACGTAATGGAACAATTCTCCTGATCTTCTCACGTGTTTTTGTTTACAGCACATCGACACCAGTGTTTAACACCAGCCCTTATTTTCAAAAGCACTGACATTTCATCTGAGTTTTCAATCCTGATATATTGGTGTTCTTTTAGTTTTTTTCTGTTTTGCATTTGTCGCATGTTAGAGGTGAATCCTTCGCAGGATCTCCTGCTGTATTCTCAAATTAGCTCACTCGGACTTTAGCTAGAGGTTTTTCTCAGGGTCTGTCCTGTAGAACCTTGGGAGAAAGTCCAGAGCCTCTCCTAACATGCAGCCTCTCCAGTGAATGTCTGGAGATTACCTGGAAGTGCATGTCTGAGAGCAGCTACACTGTCAGTAACAGCTCCACCTCATTGCCAGTCCAAGCAAGTCATTCTATCCCACCCGGATAGAAATGTGTCATGAAAGGATATAGGTGATCACTCAGACAAACTTTGAATTGCAGCGGTCCCTCCCTCTCTGGGGACAATTAGAACCAAACCATGGTAGAAAAAATGGCCACCCATAACATAACAGAGCGACTGGATCCCCCTGTCTCTGCGGAGTCAAACATTCAGACCTGTACCATTGAGTTGTGGTACCTCACAGATGTAGAGAATATGGTGAAGATGACTCTTCTGACCACATCTCTGTAGTTTTTGCATTCATCTCTGTAATGAGGGGTTTATGCACTGCAGCCTTTCAATAAAATCCCTCTCTCTGTAATTGTGGATGAACCGTTCTAGCTGACACAGTCTAATCACGTCCTACACTGTCATTCTTGGTCGCCAGAGGAGAAGTTGCTCTTCTGTTTTTCCTTACACATTTCAGTTAGCATCACCGTCCTCAAATGTGTGCTGTTGACCGCAATTTCCGAACCTACTTACTGACGTCTTTCCTGTAGATCTACATGCAGATGTCACTTAAGTCAATGTTCCTTCTGAAATTCAAGCCAGCTGAGCGGTCTCTGTGACTAAAGCTCTTGCTCTCTCTGCCCCAACAACGAACCCTCTTTCAAAGTCACGCTTGCTGTCTTTATACATCAGAATCAACCGTCTCACACAAAATGATTTGATGTTAACCGCTTTGTTGCACCATAGTGCACCTGTGTAGAAGCATTTGCATTTGTTATGTCTCTCCAATCATTATTCAGGTTTTTCCTTCAAATCGTCACCTCTGTATGTCATTTGGCAGAATAAGGAAAATATTCACCACTGATAAACATGCAAAACCTCAAATACCCTGGAGGTTTCTCTGTGCCGAGTGCATTTTTGTCTCTTTCCCTATTGTTTTCGTCTCAGCAGATAAAACCTTAGTGTATCTGAGGCCCACAGAAGCACACGCACCTAAATAAGGCTGAGTGGGATTTATATGGAAGTTAGATGCTGAAACCTTGACCTTACCTGAAAAACGAAAAGCTAAGAATACATTTTCTAAAGTGCTGAAATTAATAATTAAAGAGTAGAATTCAGCACATCCATTTCCTGTTTCATGGTAAATATGGGTGAATCTTTATTTACCACCAGCCCCCCTGGATTCCCCACTTCCTGCCTGTGGGATCCCCCTCCTCCGCGGTCCTGGCTCGGGACGAGTGCCAGCGTCAGCATCGCTGAAATATTTATCAGTCTCCTCCACTTTTCT